CAATGTGATATCGAATCTTTATCATAACTTGCTTTTAAATTAATAAATTCATTTGACTAGAGTATCTATTCAAATTTTAATAAATAATCTGAACTAAAATCAAACTATAGATGTTTTTCTCTTGTTCTTTAATTCATCTTTTAATCTATGAAATTATGTAACATTTTATCATTTTGATGTTTTAAGACAAAACTTTCTCGATTTTTTTTTGTCAAAATTGCATCGTAAGTATGTGAATGTGACTTTAATACAAAGCGACTAGCTTCTTACATTACAGACTGATGTGCAATGCTAATGATTGTTACGCTTCAGGTTACTTGTACTAATTGTTAAATTATACATTTTTTATTTTTAGAACTCACATAGATTTTTCGAATGAGAATGGTGAATGTAAGTTTTAAGTAGAGGTTGTCCGGCCTTCCTCTTCCAGTCCTTCGACTTCTTAGCAACCGAGATCTAAAGTCACTGGGTATATTCCCATAGTAACCGAGGTCGACAAATATCAGACTCGTTTTCCAGAGTTTCTTAGAAATGGAAAAAAGATGCTGAACGACATTAACAAAAAGACTTTGATTGTTCCAAAATATTTTAAAGCCTTTGTTGAAATTCAAATGGCTGAAATACGTTTGTAAATGTCCTAAATAGTGCAGTTTTTTATTCAAGATGTCAAGAATAATGAATAGTCATACATTGATTTGTCACAGTTATTATATAGTCAACATAAAAAACATAAAAACTGATCAAGTTATAATTTTGGAAAATAATCAATATCAATGATTGTGAGCTTGCCGAAATATATAATTGTGCGTTGAGACCTGCTGTGAATATAATAGATACGTACAACAGGTTTATTTGTCAGTTAAATGAGTGGCCGGAATAATAATAATATTAAATGAAGAAAAACAAAAACTAGATTGCCAGTAAAAAAAAAAAGCTTTCTATCCGAAGTACAAAAATAAATAAGGTAGGTCATCATTTTTCTTGTAATCCATTGCCCTTGAAAAATAACTATAATTTGCTAGAGATTTTTCACTTGACGTAGTTTGTATGAGTATAATGAGGCTAAGGAACACATGTGAGTTCTACATTTTAATCCCTAAGGCGTTGTCATGACAAGCAATTATTTTTACATGACAAAACATATTTTTGTATTAGAACTATTTTTTATATGAAATATTTGAACTACATATTTCAGTTTCATACGGCTATGATAAGAAGTTTTTTAGTAATATTTCAAAAACAAAAAAGAAAAAAACTTTCTTTCTTCTATTGATACTAATTGTTACTAAAAATTTTTATATTAAATAAAAAGGTCGTGATGGTATGATTGAATTTTATATTGAACGTACAAAATCGACAGATGATTTACTTTCTTTGGAACATTTACAATCAATATGTCAATGGGAAAAAAAATTTAAACATCTTCTTTCACTTGATAATACACCTAGTCTTTCATTAGCAACATTTGTTGCCTTATATTCATCAAAAAATGATTGTCAATTAATAACATCTATTGATGTTGAACGTTTTCGTTCAATAATTCATACATGTTTACCATATTATTTAAATGGTTATATGGATATACCATTAAGTGACATATTTCTTAATCGTGTTATATTACAACATCAACCTGGTCATTTTAGTCATCAAGAACAAGTTAAAGCTGTTTATACAGCATTACGTCATACATGTTTTTATAAAAATATAACACGTTTTATATTTGATCATTTTATTGATAAAAAATTTATAAATGATTTTCAACAATCAAAAAATCAATCAAAAGTATCATTATCAATGATATTTATATCAAATTATAAAAGTATAAAATATAATCATACACGTGATCAAATTATGTGTTTAAGACGACAACCATATTCAAGAAAATATTGTCAAGAACGTGGTTGTATAAATGATTTTAGAAATAATTATCTATCAAAATCATGTTTAAATCAAAATTTAACAATAAATGATTGTTATAAATATTGTCAATGTCAATATCAATGTCCAAATGAAACTGAACAAGTTATTTTAATGATACCAATATATAAAGGACAAGAATTAGTTGATCTATTTGAAAAATATTTTGCTGGTAAAAGACAATTACCAACATATCAAGATAAATTTATAAAATTAATTGCATTAAATTTTGCTAATATTCGAGAACGAGCTGCTATGGCAAGAATATCTGAAGGTAAATTTCATTTTTTTCTTTTTGTTTTGAGTTATCATTAAAATTCTTGGTTTTTTTTTTAAATTTTATCTAGATATGTTTCTTGTTTTAATTGCAACGGCATTGATTATTGGTATAACAGTACTTTATTTACGAAGTGTTTCAATAGCTTTAATTATTGTTGTTGGTGCAGCATTATCAATTGGTGTAAGCTTTTTTATTTATCGTGTTGTTTATCGTATACCAATATTTCCATTTATGAATTTAATGTCAGCATTTATATTAATTGGTATTGGTTGTGATGATATATTTGTGTTTTTTGATACATGGGATCAAGAAAAAGTTGAATGGATAAGAAAATATCAGGATAAACAACAAATTGGTAAGAAATTTATTTTGAGAAATATAATCTCGAAACGATTGTTGAAGTTATGATCCGTCGGATTGGTTCCGAGCTCGAATGTGATGAGAGTTCTACTCGTCTGAGAAATGTGTAGAGTGTACAAATCATCAAATACGAAAAACCAGAAAAAAGTATCTCGTATCTTCGGGACGACTATTTAATTCCGATTAGAAAATTTCATTCAGAGTATCAAAGCATGGTTCGATGAGTTCGGCCCAGGATCCGAAAAATTTCCGACCAATCAAGTCCCAGTTCCAAAACATTCAATAAACCAGGTTCGGATCCGAAAATTTTGGACCTGTGACAGGCTCTAGTTGAAGTATAAGGATAGAAATTTGAACCATCCACTGGTGGTGTAATCATCGTTGAACTAAGCTGATCGTTGCCCTACCATCAGAAAAAAACCGTAATGATTACCAACATTGACACTATATGTTATGGATTTCTTCCAAAATCATAGGGTACTGCTCTAGCACACACGATCTCCTGGTTATGCCACTATCTTCTTGTTCACAGCCTGTGATAGACTTAGTAACGACATTAAAATCTACTGTTGGGTTATTATGAAAGAAGATGGAAATTAAGATACCGGTCTTTGACCTTTTTTGCAAACTCACTATAACATATTTCATTACGAGCATGTCAGTACATTGGAAATCCCCAACTGTAGCATATGTTGAGAAATTCTTTGAGTTACAGTATATGGTAGATGAATCATGCTTCATATTTTATTTTCGAAGGAATCACATTAATAGCTTTCTTTTTTTGTTATTATTATGAAAATCCATTTATTTGTCTTTTGATATAGATGCAAATATTCCATTAAATGAAACAAATAATAAAAAACAAATTAAAAGAAGTAAATTAAAAATACCATCAAATGCATTTCAAACACGTCATAGATTATCATTATTTAATGATCCAGAAGAAATGAGAAGATTATTATTAAGTGAAGAAGCATTAACTGAAATAATGGCTAATACATTAAAACATGCTGCATCATCTATGTTTGTTACATCATTTACAACATCAGCTGCTTTTTTTACAAATATGTTAACAAATATATCATTTGTACAAGTTTTTGGAGTTTTTACTGGAACTTGTATTTTACTTTATTTTGTTATTACAGTTACAGCTATTTCAGCTTTTGCTGTAAGTTTAGATTTATATATATTTGTACAGAAGATAATTCAAAATATTGATATAATGAAAAAATTTTCTTTTATAAATATATTGACATATATCTGATTGACAAAAGTTATCTCTTAAAACGAATTGATAGTTTTTGTCTTGAGAAATCTAATACATTAATTTTTCTTGTTTGAAAAAAAAAAAATTTTTTTCTCTTCTAGGTCATTTATGAGAAATATATTCAAAATATTGTATCACGTATACTTTCAATACGTTTTACAAATGTTGTTGATACATCATCAAGTGGTTCATCAGCAAAATTATGTCGTCGTCTTGCAGCTATTTGTCGTGATATTCGAAATTATATTTTTGGTCATTTTATGCCACTCATTATAATTAATTTACGTTATTTATTAGTCTTACTCTTTTTACCTATGGGTGTCTTAGGTTAATAGTTATTATTTTTCCCTTTTGTTTTTTACTAAATTTTTATAATTGATATATTTTTCTTTTGCTTTTATTTAAGGTCTTGTTGGTGTTTTTCATTATCCAAAATTACGAGTTCCATCAACACAAAAAGTTGCATTCTTTTTAAAAGATAATCCAATGGAAATATATGAATTTTCAATGAAAAATAATTTTAATGGTTATTCAAAAGAAGAAAAACGTTTATTTGCATATCCAGCTGTATCATTTATATTTGGTATACGTGATATTGATGATGGTTATATATTTGATATGAATGATCGTGGTCATCTTCATTTAATGCCTATTTATTTAGAACGTCAAATAACATTAGAATTTTTTAAAAATTTTATATCACATTTAGGAACACGAGCTGATTTATTTGGTTCAAATTATGATTTAGAAAAAGATTTTGAAACATTTTATCAAGTAAAAATTGTTTCTTTCTCAAATAATTTTTTCGAATAATTTTATTTATTATTTTTTTTAGCTTTCAACAGAAGATATTTTAATAGCAAAAATAACTGATGATTATGCTAAACAAAATTTAACAAATACAAATAATATTAATATGATTAAATATTTAACAAAAATAAATATAAGTTTAATACAAAATTTAGTTCGTGATACAGTACGAACAATTGATTATAAAATTGAAATTGATCAATCGGATCATGATGATTATATTGATATTAAATCAAATAAAATTAATATAACTTTAAATAAAATTAGTAGAAAACAATTAAGTAATTTAACAAATCCAATTATTATTTATTCAAATTATAGAAAATTATTTAATAAAACTTTACAAAAATATTATAAAGAACAGGTTTGTCAAAAGATTAAAACATATTGTTTTCTTTTTATTAAATATTTTTTACAAATAATTCTAGATCAAAAATAATTATGATGTAAATGAAATTCGTAATTCATTAAATGAAACAATACGTGATAAACTTACTGAAGATTATCATCGTTCAGCATTAAAAACAGCTATGCAATGTTTAACTGGTGTAGCTGGTGCTAATAATGTACCAGAAGATTTTTGTGAACGACAACTTAAAAAACAACGTTCTATTAATTGGGCAGTCTTACCTGATAAACCATCACCAATTGATGGAAGTGTTCGACCATTTGCTGTTATTATTACTATTCGAGGTGCAGAAATGAAAGTTTATTGAAAATTTATACATAGTGTTTTACCCAAAATTTTCTCTTTCGGAGCGGCGAATTAAAACTTCGGAAGGAAAAACATCTACTTTTGTAAGAATAGATACATATGATGTGGTACAATAACCGTAAATTCCGAGAGATCTAACCCGATTTTCGAAGGAGTGCTACTCTCTTAGTTCGGACGATGGATGAAACACCAGTCGTAGAGTGTAATCTTTGCCATTGAATGCTAAATTTTCTATCTAGTGTATCTTGATAATCATCATTGTTTTTAACAAATCCTTCATAGATTTTTGAAATTTGATTACTGTCTGTTAGAGACTATCGAGCTGGTCACAGATCTAAGTATGAAAATTTTGGATCCGACGAACTCTACTGTCTGTCCAAAAGATAATCACAGTAGCAAGAGTTAGTAACATGTAATTGCCATTCTGCGAAGTCAAAACTATCGACATATACAAGCTGAACTCATCGAAAGCTGTTACTGAATTGAAACAGTTGTTGGTATGAAAAAAATCTGATCGATTTTAAGAGTTTATTATAAAACATTTGACCTATTCGAGTATAGTTTTTGCTTTCTAACAAATGACATCTTGAAATACTAATAGACATGTGCGAGACTAAGTTATTTTGCTTCCAATCCCGGTAACATCTTTTCTAATAGTTGTGGCTATAGTCTCGGTGAATCTAATTTGGTTCCGATTCTAAAGAAAACTATTCTAAAATTTGTATCACATGTGAGCAGATTTTGCAATATTCAATTTTTGATCTATTCAGTCGATGATTAGCAATTATTTGTGTCATCCTGCTTGAATTATGTTCTAATTTATATGAGTTATAGGATAGTTCTCTTAAGGCCTTCATCTCAAAAAGAAAAAAGGTCAATTTTCGTCAGAATTATCGAAATAAAGATACATGCATGGAAAGATAGCCCGAAATCCAATCTTTCATAAAAGACTTGATATTTTTATTTGATATGTCGTTGTTAGCCAAAATTTTCTCTATTTATACTTTGTTTTGATTGCGCATCCAAGAATTCTCGAAGAAGCTTCTTAATAACTAGTTGCTTTCTTTCGCTTGAAGATGCATGTCAAGATGAAAAGCATCACTGAGTCCCTTTTTTTCAATTAAACTTTGTTACTATTATATAAAAGAGTATTTTTATAATTAGAGCGCTATTTTTGCGAGTGTTTTTCAAGACATTGAACTTTTTTACGCTAAAAAAATAAAAATTTCAAATCAAGATCTCTGTCACGTCCTGCATCCTAATATGCTCTTTCCAATAAAAACAAACAACGATCATTACATCTCGACATAGAGAATAGTTATTATTTACATTAAAATCGAATAACTAGTAAACCCAATTTAATTGTTTTTTTAAGGTGCACTTAATCAGACTGATTATGATTCATATAATACATATTATTTCAAAGTGAAAAATTTCTTTGACCCATATATAAAACAAAATGCACCAAAACATTTACAACATGCATGGTTTTCTTCTCCGGGTTTTGCATTTTATGGTGTTCAACGTGAATTACTTGTTGGTTCTTATTCATCTTTAATTGCGTCACTTGGTATTGCTTTACTTGTACTTTTTCTTACATCAGGCAATTTATTTATTGCAGTTTATGCTTTAATTACAATTACTTTTGCTATTGGTAACTACAGTTGTTATTTTGTTTTCTTTTATAGAAATTGGCATTTTTTTTATTTAAAAATAAAAATTGTTATTATTTATTTTAGCTGTGAGTGTTGCAATATTTGCTGCCTTAAAATGGGAATTAGGAATAGTTGAAGCTATTATTGTTATTATGTCTGTTGGTCTTTCGGTAGATTTTGTTGTTCATTTTGGTGTTGGTTATATTCATACAGATTCAGCAGATATTGATCATGAACGAAAAAAAATAAAACGACGTTATTTATCATCAATATCAATACCAACAGAATCTCCTGATAGTCTTGAAATACGAACTTCTAGTAGTAAGTCGCCCTTGTCTATTTAAAAAAAAATACTATTATCGTAATTCCTACAGGATTAAAAAATGAAACACGATATAGGTGCTGTTGCTAATTACAGGAAGATAGTATTATTTTATCTATTTTGGATCACATTTCTTCACCGTCCTTTCACTTAATCCTCCAGAAATGTAATAAAAGAAGTAGTTCATATATTATGACGAGACTTTATTGATATATGATTACAAATCGTATATCAATAACGTATGTAACGGTGTGTCAGAAGTGCAAATTTCTAACCTATATACTTCAACATTCCTTTTAGATTGTGTTTCATAAAATAAAGTAAACTATGTTTTTGATTTCTAGAAATGAATACTTATTATTTAATATATAAACAACAACAAATTGAACGTGAGACACGTGTAACAGAATCAATATCTCGTGTTGGTTCAGCTGTTTTTATGGCGGCATTCACAACATTTGCAGCTGGATTTTCAATGACATTATCATCACTTACTGCATTTCGACAAATGGGACAATTTTTAATGACAATTAGTATGTAAAACATATGTTTTTTGTTATAATTTAAAAAAACAACAAAGAATTTGTTTCATTTGAATTATTCTTCTAGTGCTTACATCATGGGTATTTTCAATGTTTTTCTTTTTACCATTGTGTGCTATAATTGGTCCTGTTGGTAAATGTGGTTCAATACCATTTACTCAAATTGGTGAATATTTTAAACGATGTTTATTATTTCGTTGTCAACGTCGTAATTCAAACGAAATTGTTAATGGATAAAATCTTGTTTTGGTATACAAAAAAAAACAAACAAATCTAGTCAAAAGCTATCCAAAACGCATTATTAAAATGCATAGAACTACACAGATTTCCTTTTTTTTATTTCATGCATCCCATTTATTTCCCGTCCAACATGAATATGTTCGTTTGTCAGATAGAACAAAAAAATCGCACAAACTAAAGTTATTTTTCAACTTTAAAAAGCACAATATGAAATTGATGAGCTCTAAAATTATTTATTATTCTATGTGAATTATGTTTACAGGGTTTATTTTTTGCTTTGATTTTATATGCACCTTAAATGAAGAAAAAAAAACAGAAATATTACATTGCTACAAATCCGTAATTAATAATTGTTTGTTTTGTCTTTTGTTTTTAAGCAAAATTCAATCGTGATGTATGAGATCGGTTTTTTTTTGTTTTTTGATTTCTATTTATTAATCTTATATTTTTTCCTTTTAATTCACTTCATTTATCATTGTAAATCGTCGTTTATTTTATGTAATGTGTATGTGTTTGTATGTAATAGAAGAAATAAAAATATCTGTTTAAAATTACAGATGTAAAATTTATTTGAAAGCAAAATGCATAACAACTGTCAATGGTTTTTCTTTTTTTTTTATTATTGTTGCAATGTTTGATACGAATTGATTGATGAATAGTTAAAGGATTTTATTATTGTTTTTATAGCTAAATGAATGATATTACATCAATATGATCATAATCAATTCGTAGGTGTTTTAAGAATGAAGAGAGAATGTTTTAGACTATCGATGCATATGATCGTCTTATAAATACCTATAATCATGAGACCGAATAAAAGTAAATTCTTGCCGCAGAAGAAATTACAAATGATTTGTGAAGAAATTGGTAAATGTTGACTTTTTTTTTATATAAAAGAATCTGATCAGAAATCATCAGTTTTTTCCTCATTTTGGAAACATTATAAAATGAAAGTAACAGTATACAAATCGGTCTTGTTGTCAGTTTATTAACATTTTATCCCTATTGTGGACAAAAGTTTAAGGAATATCAAGACACACGATACACTCTTGCAAAAAAAAATCAGACAACTGATGAATAGAACCCTGCGGAGTTAAGTTTTTCCGACTCCGACTCCGGCAAACATTTTTTTGATCGATATATACAGTGATTTCAAAAATTGATCATATAAATTTAATTTTGATTTTATTTCGTAATGGTAACTTGCATAAAAAATTACAATAGTGACTTGGATAAAGAAAATTATTTCCAATAAGTATTTGACGGAATAAAATCTTCATAATATGCAATAAATCGAGTTGTTCTGCCCTCAAAATCTTAAAATAAAAGCTTCTTTTGATTACACGGAGTAACAGAGCAACTCTCTACAAAATGACATGTCTTCGAGCTCTCCACTACATTTTTTGACTGAACTACATGAATTTTAAGAGAAGTCCGAAAGTCTTTTTTTTTATTCAGTTTTCTTCTATGAAACGGCAAAAACACTATTTTTAGATATTTCTTAATGTCAATTTAGGTTCCGCCAAAAACTGTCGTGAAGAGCTCGAAGACATGCCATATTGTACAGAATCAGTTGCTCTATTGCTCTGTGAAATCCTGAATTTTAAGAATATTGTGAAGGTTTTTATTTCACTCAAATCCTTCTTATAAATAATATTCTCCATTCAAACTATTATTTAGATTTTTTTATGCGAATTACAATTACAGAAAAATCGTATTTGAGTCTGTACGATTAATTTCTGGAGCCATTATGTATTTCTTGTTGTACTATTTGTTAGTGAGAAGTTCTCTAATTTCTTTTATTGAAACTTATTTATGTATCTATAAAGTAGTATATTTTTGTTCATTACTTAACATATGAGACATAAACTAGTTGCTATGTAAGATTAAAGACACTTGACTGTTTCAATGATGTAACTTCAACTCCGACTCAGAAAAAATTTCTTTTAGTAACGCTGCGTCTGATGCGGGGCTCTACCAACGAAAAATGTTCTGCAGCTGATCAATTATTTGTTAAATTGGGACTATGTGCATCATGCAGGTTCGAATAAGCACGTAGGATATTTTAGGTCCAGATTCGAGTATATCCTGGAAATAGTCGCCAATAGAATGGCTTCAAAAGAGATCGCATTAGCTCCAAGTAGAACTCGACGAGCTCTATCGACTTCGATAATTACTTTCTCCAATGCCTCCCTCAGACCGGAGAAAAGTCTAAAATACCGCAAAAAATGCTGAAAAAACTCATATAGTTTAGAAAGATCCACAGCGATTCACTCCTAAGTGGCTCCCAACAAAAAATCAAACATACTAATCGATAGATCTCGACGAGTTCTATCCAATCTACACTTCACTCGTCAAATTCGAGCAAGTCATCACCAAGAAAATCGCTAATTACTTCTATAGCTGCTATATTCATATATACACATAGGACAATTTCCGAAAAACTTTTTCTCACTCCTTCATGAGTTGACTTCAACAAAACTAATGATGGCTCCAGATAGATCTCATCAAGCTCTATCCATTCTATACCTCACTCGTCAAGTTCAAGCAAGTAATCATTGAGAAAATCTCTAATTAACCCTGTGTTCATAGATATAGTGAGAAGGATTTAGGAAAATCCTTTCAAATACCTTCACGAGTCGGCTTCAACAAAAATTAATGATGGCTCCAAATAGGTCTCGATGAGCGCCATCGATTTCACATATCGCTCGTCAAACTCGAGCAAAGCATTACTGAGAAAATCCTTAATTATCCCATTATTCCTATGAACAAAGGACTAATTAGGGATTTTCTCGATGATGACTTGCTCGAATTTGACGAGTGATGTATGAATTGGATAGAGCTCGTCGAGATCTATCGAATGGTATATTTAGTTTTTGTTGGAGCCACTCCGGAACAAAATGTGACGGATTTTTCTAAATTATATGGGTTTTTTAGCATTTTTTTTGCGGTATTTTGGACTTTTCTCCGGTTTCAGGAGAGCTTTGGAGAAAGTAATTATTGAAGGCGATAGAGCTCGTCGAGTTCTACTTGGAGCCAATGCGATCTCTTTTGGAGCCAGTCTTATGGCGAATATTTCCAGGATATACTCGAATCCTGACCTAAGATATCCTACGTGAACAATGTGGTGTTTCGTGCTTCAGTAGATATAGGCATTTTTCTTTAATTAAGTAGAAACGACCCCCAACGGTTGTAGTGCGTGCGCGTATACTCATATCACATCATGCCATACGTTAGCGACATCTAGTAGAATTGGAGAAAATTTTATTAAAAGTCAGTTTTTCTAAGACTAATTTAGAAAAAATTATAAAAAAAAAGTTTCTTAAAGGAAAGTGTTTTTAAAGTAATATCTTGCATTTCTAGAGAAATTGTTTTCAATATGATGAATTGTTCGTATTAATTCATTTATTCATTGGTTAATATAACTATTGGATCTATCGTATGTAGAGTAAAGCAATAGTCAGTGGAAATATAATGTTTATTTGTTCTGTTGACTAGTTTATTGCTTAAAATTTTCTTACGTTATGTTTTTTTTGTTTCTAGACTTTTGCATCTCTTTTCCATCTCTTGTTAAACAGTAGAAAAAACAGCAAACAATGTCAAATGAACATCTTTCATTAAAAGGCGTTCTTGTTGGTCATAATGATTGGGTAACACAAATAGCAACAACACCACAATTTCCTGATATAGTTCTATCATCATCACGAGATAAAACAATTATAATTTGGCAATTAAATAATCTACATGATCCAACTGGTGAAAGTACATCATGTGGTGTACCAAGTAAAGCATTACGTGGCCATTCACATTTTGTTTCGGATGTTGTTATATCAAGTGATGGTCTTTTTGCTGTTAGTGGTTCATGGGATAGTTCATTACGTCTTTGGGATTTATCTGTTGGCACAAGTACAAGACAATTTGTTAGTCATAAAAAAGATGTATTGAGTGTCGCTTTTTCGGCTGATAATCGACAAATTGTTAGTGGTAGTCGAGATAAAACAATAAAATTATGGAATACAGTTGGACAATGTAAATCACAATTGATGTCTAAGAAAAATATCATTCCTTTTGTTTTTTTTTGAATTTAGGCAAATATACAATTGTCGACGATAATCATACCGATTGGGTTTCATGTGTACGTTTTAGTCCAAATCAAAAAGATCCACTTATTGTATCAGCTGGTTGGGATAAACTTGTCAAAGTAAATATCTTTGTTTTTCTCTCTCTCTCTCTCTTTTATAATTGATTTATTAAATTAAATATAAAGGTTTGGAATTTAACTAATTGCAAATTACGTACAAATCATCATGGTCATAATTCATATTTAAATACAGTTACAGTATCACCCGATGGTTCATTATGTGCTAGTGGTGGTCGTGATGGTAGAGCTATGTTATGGGATCTTAATGATGGAAAACATTTATATACACTTGAAAGTGGTGATATTATTAATTCATTATGTTTTTCACCTAATCGTTATTGGCTTTGTGCTGGTAAAAAAAGACAACGATACATTATATTTTAAAATATTTGATTAATTAATTTTTTTTTCTAGCAAGTGGTACATCAATTAAAATCTGGGATTTAGAAACGAAAACAGTTGCTGATGAAGTCAAATCAGAAAAACAATGTACATCATTGGCATGGTCAGCTGATGGACAAACATTGTTTGCTGGTTTTACTGATAATCAAATACGAGTATTTGAAGTTCAACATCGTTAAATTAATTTAACAAGGCAATAGCAACAGAAGAATATTTAACATCCATAATAATTATTATGGAAAAAAACAGAAAACAATTTTTTCTTGTTTTGTAAACCAACCGTTTTTAATCTTCTTGTTGTTAGTATTGTTGTCATAAAAACAAAAAAAAAACAAAAAGAACGAAAATGATTATTAGTGCCGGTTTTATTTAAAAAGGGCATGTTGAAATATTTTCATAAAACAAAAATAAAAACAACCGAATATCAAATTTAAGATTTTTTTTGTTGTATTAA